ATTCGATATATTCAATACGAATAATAGGAATTAATTTCATATGAATTTACAAATTTTCTGGATAAAAATCCGAAATTTATTAAAATATTCGGCAGTGGGACCCACATCTCAAATCCCGAAAAACTCATGAAATCCGAACACCCGTTCCGATACGAGTTCAACCATATAAATTTTTTTCAATTCCGATATCAAATGGACCTTCAAATCTTAACTTTTCATTTTTGAAAGATTTTATAAAATTCTAATTTTCTTCCATCTAAATTCGAAATAAATGATGAATATAGACATGAATTTGTTAAATATAATCACTTTTGGTTAAAGAATACTTACCCAGTTCGAAATCGTAAAAAACTCCTTTATAATCCCCCCTAAGCCGAGTTATAATTGATGGTTTGTGAAAAAAATGGGAAAAATCCCATTTTGGTTCGTTTTAATTCATAGGGGTTAGGCCTTTTTCGCGTTCGCGAAGGGCCTGTTGCGTTCGCAAAGGGCCTGTTGCGTTCGCGATGAGTAGAAGCCCGTGGCTTTCGCTTTCGAGAGTCCTCCTTCGCATTCACGAAGGCTTTTACCCCCTGGCCTTCGCGTTCGCGTGCCAGTGCTCGCGTTCGCGTATAAGGACAACTTCCCCCTCCCCCACGCCTCTAAAGTTTCGCGTTCGCATTCAGCTGGTCGCGTTCGCGAAGGGTAAAAACCCCATAGCTTCGCATTCACGGTCACGAAGAAGAAAAATTCAGCCAGCTCAGTTTGCTCTTCGCGTTCGCGAGAGTATATTCGTGAACGCGATGAAGGAAATACCATAAGCCCAAAGTCTGCAGAAAACCAGATTTCCTAAGTCCGAAATCATCCCGTAGCCTATCAGAAACTCACCCGAACCCTCGGGGCTCCAAACCAAACATGCACACAAGTTCTAAAATATCATACGAACTTGCTCGCGCGATCAAACCGCCAAAATAACACCTAGAACTACGAATCGGACACCTAATCAAAGGAAGTTTTCAAGAAAACTTTAAAACTTATATTTTTACATCGGACATCCGAATCACGTCAAATCAACTCTGATTCTCACCAAATTCGGCAGACAAGTCATAAATATTATAGTGGACCTATACCGGGCTCCAAAACCAAAATACGGACCCGAGGTCAATAAATCCAATATTAGTAATTTCTTAAAAATCATTAAGCTTTCAATCTTTTAATTTTTCTTCAAAATTCCATATCTCGAGCTAGGGATCTCAGAATTCGATTTCGGGCATACGCCCAAGTCCCAAATCATGATACGGACCTACAGGAATTGTCAAAATACTGATCCGGGTCCGTTTTCTCAACATGTTGACTAAAGTCAATAATAAATGATATCTGTTGCGGGGTGCAACCCGATCCCTCATATTAATAAATCATATCTGTTGCGGCGTGCAACCCGATCCCTCACAATAATAAATTATATCTATTGCGGCGTACAACCCGATCCTCAAGCAATAAAATTAAGCAACCGATTTACAACCAACTACGGTATTCCACAAAATCAAAAGGAATAACGATGCTACACAAAGAAGTCGCAACTAATGAAAAGGCTACATGATAGCTCACGAAATCAAATAGCAAGGAAGTGACAATCCATAAGCCAAGGCACAATTAATGAGCATCATTTGACAATTAAGGCATGTAGTAGGTAAAGCATAAATTCAACGAGTGATTACAATCAACAATTGGCATATAAGGTGATCTTGACAACAAAGATGGACCATGTGCTAACAATTTCAAGTAAAGCACGTACAAACAATTCTAACACAAAAGATGTAGTCATGAAACGATAGTTACAATTAGTTACATGAAAGGATCCTAACACTCCAAATCGGTCAAATACCACATATAGGTCGTGTACCCACTCGTCACCTCGCGTACACGACCTTCACATAACACGAATGACACAATCACCTCAAATCCTAAGGGGTGATTTCTCCCACACAAAGTTAGACAAGACACTTACCTTAATGGAGTTAGGCCGATATCCCAAAATAGCCTTCTTGCGCGAAACGACGTTCGGACGGCTCCAATCTAATCAAAATATTTTTATAAATTAATTATAATTCATAGAAAATAATTTCGGATAATAATACTAAGTCAACTGAAAGTCAATGCGGGGCTCACTTTTTGGAATCGGACAAAAATTTATGGAATCCGAATACCCGTTCCGATACGAGTTCAACCATATAAAAATTATCGAATTCCGACATCGGATCGCCTTTCAAATCCCAAAAATTCATTTTGTGAAATTTCTACAATTTTTTCCAAATTTTCATTTCAAAATACTAATTAAATGATGCAAACAATGATATATTCATGTATATTAACCAAATTCGAGTTAGAATCAATTATTCCGATGAATTTCTTAAAAATTCCACGAAATATCACCACAAACCGAGCTCCCAAAGTCCAAAAATAAAAAAATGAGATGAAACCCTCGTTTATATGGTACCAATTTGATCTCCCAATGTGCTGACCACATATTTTTTTGTGCGGTCCGCACATTCCAAGTTCCGCGGTCGCAATTCAAATTGTGCGATCGCACTTCAGTAACCACTGCACTACTAGGATTCAGTAAATTGATCATAACTTTCGCTACAAATGTCCAAATGATGATTGGTTTGCCTTTCTGAAAACTAGATTCAAAGGCTACAAATTTCGTTTTTGGATCATCTCCAAATTCCTTGTAGATTAAAAGATATAGGTTTTCGAAGTTAGGCCGTCGAATCTGTAGAATCCCCTTTCTGCGACCGCAAGAGGAATTCTGCGGTCCGCACATGAGGCTTTCAGCACTCTAAAATATGCCCCCGCACTCCTACTGTTCCCAAAACATCATTAGAGTGTCGAAATGCCTAAACTCGTTCAAAACTCACTCTGAAACACACTTGAGGCCCTTGGGACCTCAACCAAACATGCCGACAAGTCCTCAAACATAACGCGGACCTGTTCGAGGCCTTAAATCACATCAAACAACGTCGAAACTACGAATCGCACCACAAATTGAACTCATGAATTTCCAAATCTTTCAACTTCCATAACTCGTGCCAAAACATACCAAATTAATCCGGAATGACGTCAAATTTTGCATGCAAGTTTCAAATGACATAACAGAGCTAATCCAACTCTCGGAATCGCTTTCCGACCCCGATATCACCAAAGTCAACTTCCGGTCAAACTTCCAAATCTTCCATTTCCAACTTTCGCTAATTCAAGCTATAATCAACTACGGACTTCCAAATAAATATCCGGACACACTCCTTAGTTCAAAATCATCATACGAAGCTATTGGAACCATCAAAATTCTATTCCGGAGTCGGTTGCTCAAAAGTCAACTCTCCGGTCAATTCTTTTCTTTTAAACTTCTTAAATAAGAATTGTTCTTCCAATTTGATCCCGAATCATCCGAAAACCAAACTCGACCACACAAGCAAGTCATAATACGCATTATGAAACTGCTCGAGGTTTTAAGCCGCTGAACGAGACGCTAATTCTTAAAACAACAAGTTTGGTCGTTACAAAAAGGTTACATACCGTTTATAAAATAGACACAGAAAATTTATGACATTCTACAAAGAGTTGTAGAAAGTGGATCACATTTACATGGCTTGTATAATTTGGAATATGGCACCATATCCAGTGTTGAAATGAGGTAAACTTTTTATATATTACTCTTTTATTTGAACTTGTAGTCTTAGTCGTATCATTATATTTTAACACATTATCAGTAATGATGAAAGATAAAATTTATGTGAAATAAATTTCAAATTTAGAAAGGTAGAATTTGTTAATGGGACCGGTTAGTAAAAGAATCATGCCATCTAAAATAAAATGGAGGATTAATAAATGCCCTCTTTCTAAAAATAAATATATAAGTGCATTCCTTTTACATATTTACATCATCAGCCGAACAATAATAGCAAAGTCCTCAGAATTCGAATTTATAACTTCTTATTTTAAATTTAAAATTGTACAAAAATTTCATAGTCGAACTCGATGTATGTATCAAAGCAGCAGATAAATTAACGTGCTCTTAGTATAATATCTGTCAGTTAATTAAATTAATCAATGGAAACCTTTCTAAAATTTTAAGTACTTAACTATAAATGTTTTTAAATACTTTTCAATACTTTGTAGTGGATATCCTATTATATGAGCTGCTGTTCCCCATACTCTTTCCATTTTTGGGTCGACGGTGGGGGTGGGGTGGGTTGGTAGGGGTTGGAGGGATGAGAAATAGGGCGGAGAAGGTTGAAAAAGAGTTTTAGAAAATGTCAGTCTTTTCTTTTGATAGGAAAATATTTTCCTCTAATTGGATCAAAATGAGTTCATGAAGAAAATATTTTTCAAAACATTTAAGCCAATCAAAATGTGAAAATTGAAAAATATTTTCATACCAAACACACCCTATATCGAGGCAAAATTTGAATATCTTATTCTCATTTTTTCAAAAAATATCTTATATCCTTTCGTCTCCAAAGTATTTCAAGTTTTTTAGGCACTTGTTACATCACAATTCACTAACAATGGAAAAAGAGAAGAGTAAATCTAAGCAGAAGCGGATTCAAGATTTAAATTCTATGAGTTTAACTTTTTAATTTTTTTTATATTGAATCTATTGTGTTCTTAAACTAATGAGTTCAGACCTACCATTTGTTATAATCTTAGTGAACTTTTATACAAAAATTTATGTTTCATGTCGAAAGTACTGAATTCAAAGTCCGCCATCACTATTCTAAATCCGCCCCTGAATCAAAGATAGAAGAAATTGCTACCATTAGGGTACAAGACATGGCCCTTGGCATGTGATATAGACGTTATTAGTGACTTCTAACTCGACTCTTCACCAATATTGGGTGAAGTTGTACCACGAATAAAGAAGGTTCAAAAATGTGAAAATACATCTTTGTCATGAAAATGATGTCTTGATAGCTACATAAATAAAGGAAGAAAAATTTATAACCTTAACCTTTGTTTCTATTTAATCTTTTCTCTTTAAAAAAGAAGAAGAGGAGGTGTGACCTTTTGATAGAAGGATGTCAAGTTAAGAATTAAGGTAGTAGATTAGTAGCTAGTTAATTGTCTTTTCTTTTATTCCAGTAGCGTTATTTTCGTATTTTCATATTCTTAGATTTTTATTACTATCTGGCGTTGCTTTTGTTTTGATTTTCTATTATTTTGTTGTTGTTACTGCTTCTTTGATTTTTTTTGCTAATGCATTTCTTTTTTTATGCTGTTGTGATTCTGCATTGCTTACTTTGAGTCGAGAGTTATTATTGACAATAACGTCTCTACCTGCACAAGGTAGGAGTAATGCTACATATTCACCGTCCTTCCTAAATCTCATTTGTAATATTATACTGAATATGTTATGTTGTTATAAACTCTAGATTGGCAAATGGATGTGTAATATCTTAATCAGAAGGTCTGATTCAAACAACCAAGTTATTCTCTGATTAAATTCTGTGACAGGAAATTAATTCCAACTTATACTTTTCTCCTTGAAAAAAAGGTTATTTAAGAAAGTAAGAAAATGGCCCGACAAGATAAAGGTTCATTGATTATGGGAAACAACCATACATTTCAATGAGCACGATTGGTTAACGGTCACACAAGTTTGATACGAGAATAAGATGGTTTTTACAGTAAATCCTCATTAATTAATACTATAGATAATGTGATGGTGAGTGAAAACAAACTTTCTGCTATATCATATTTTGATTTGTTTTTTTTTTTTAAATTTCTCTTCCCATTTTAAGGTTGAGCAATGATAAATGATAAATGATGAAAAATGCATGATTTTGGATATAGCTTCATATCATTTTGTATGTGAGTTGTGGAGTATTACATATTTATAAACATAAAATATGCTCATTACCTGTTTATTGTGCGTAGGAATGAGTTTGGATGGAAGTTGGCAAAAATATGATGGTTTGATGCAAAAAAAAAAAGAAAGAAAAAGAGTAGAGATGCAAGACCTAGGAGCGTGCCATAATTGGTACATTGCATGAAAGTATGCACAAAATGGCCTAGGAGATGGACATAAAACAGTGCAATATGGAGGTTGGCACTGGACCTGGCACACGAAAGAACAAAGAAGAAAAAAAGAAATAACTGGGAGCATGCTAGAAGTCGCGCGTTCCACCAACTCTAGCACGTGACTCAGCGTGTCCTTTTCGAATTAGGAGAGATCAAGGACGCCCCACATCAACCCTAATTGATATAAATACATCATAAAACGTCCTTTTGAAGGGGGAGACACTACTTTAGGGTAACAAAACACCCAATGAGGCAAGAATACGCGAGGAGCAAGGAGGAAGATTGAACCACAAGTTTTTCCTTTCCTCTTCCTATTTTTCATTGTTGGTTATGACTTTTAGTATTGTAGTTTTACATACTATTATGAGTAATTAATTTATTATCTAGAGTTTTGTTGGAACCTTTTGGAGGATGAATTCTTGTTATGTTTTAATATAATTTAACCTTTGAATTTATCTACTTGTTCAACTACGTGCTTATTTCAGTTGATTGAATGACCATCGATTGATTGTGCCTATTTATTATGTGTTGCTTGAGAAAAGATACATATTTAGGTGGTTGTTGAATAACGTCACTCCTAAGGTATATGAGAGATCAATACTGTGGGTTTAAAAGCGGTATTAGAGATAACGAAATTTTGACGTGATCATAGTGAGTGGTGAAAAAGTGTGAGCTAGCGTAAGTCGAGAGAATATGACTAGCAAATTATTGTAGTTGCTCGAGAGAGAATTACGATAAGTTGAGTGCTCATGATCAGTATAGTATAATTAGGCAAAATTATAGAAGACATAGCAGGAAGGATTCCGACAATTGAAAAAATCTTAACTCTAGACCTCCTTAATTTAGTCTCCAACCCTTAGTATCTTTAGTTGTTAATTTACTGCTTTAGTTTGTTAGTTAATTAGTTAGATATAAGAATCCTAATATTTATAACTTAGGAATAGATCGACCTTGTCTTCTTAGTGACACTGAACAATTATAGCGAAACCTTAGTTCTCTGTGGGATTCGACTCCGGACTCTTAAATCAGATTATATTTGCAGCGACCGCTTATCCTTTATAGGACTAGAGTTGGGCGTGATCAAGTAATGTGTATTAGGGATAAGTTGACTATCGAGTTTGAGCCACGAGAATGAAGAACTTTTTTCACTTAGTAAAAAGTATTTCGGTGCACAAAGCATCTCGCATTCATGCAGAGTCTGGGAAAGGATCGCACCCTAAGGGGTGTAAGGCAAACAACTTATCCTAATGTTAGGGGCGGCTCAATAAGTTTGGCTGCCTAAAGCCAAACTTTAATGTGAGGCCATTTTAAAAATAATTCTATATATTTTTAGTTGAAGTAGATTTTTCTAGCTTTTTGAGAACAAAACTACTTAATTTTATTCGCATAAACCATTTAATCTCTCATGTTACGGTATTGATCTTATGTAATAGAACCTGATTCAAGAAGTTGATAATTTTTATATTAAAATAACTTTTTGATGTTTCAATATACTTGTTGTAATGATGAAGACCTAAGGAAAAAAATGGAGTTTAAAAGTGTATTACATATTTTCTAATGATTACTGTAATCCTTTTATATATATATATATATATATATATATAATATTTTACTTTTCTACTTTGAAATACTTAATATTTTCTTAAAAAGATTTGGGGTCTCACGAGAAGAGTTATGGTGGGAGGGATAATATCTTTCCTTCTTTAACCGGAAGTATTCGGTTTCATTATTTGGAATGAAAATAATCTCTTCTAAGAAACAGTTTCTACTTTAATGGACTTTACACGGTACGGATTCGAATTAATCAATGCCTCAAATTAAATATCGGACATCAAATAAGAATTGGAAAATAAAAATTGGGCCCTCCAAAATTCTGGGGCTTAAAGCAACCGCTTTAGTGGCTTCACTCTTTGGCCTCCTCTCGCTAATGTAATCATTATTGGTTAGTTTCACGGCTCAAACCCGTGACTTATAGGTCACACATAGACAATTTTATCATTGTTCCAAGACTCCCTCGACCATTTTACACTTAGTATGATGAGTAAATTTCAGATACCGAATCCGGAAAAAACTATACTTTCACAATCTTTCTCCTTTTAGAAGTAAAAAACAAATGTGCTTCATTGACATGTTGCTTGAATGTTGTGATAAGTTGGGATCAATATATAGGAAGTAGCTTCCTCTCAAGAAAGCAATTTGCTAACTTTTTGAAGTACAACTTGGAGCCTAGTATTTAACTCCATTCAGGATATATATTGGCATTTCCCGCGAATTTTCTCCAGCTTGAAAAGGACAAGTAAAAAAAAAAGAGGAATTCATCTCATGTTCTTCATTGGTTTTTTCATTTTCATAGATCTCTTTTGGTTTAGTTCACTAATTTATAGTAATATTTATCGATAAAAATACAAGAAGGAGATTTTTGTATTTCCATTTTTTACATCACAAAATGTACTTCAATTATTGCACTGAAAAATAAAAAGAAAAAGAAAAAGAAAAAGAAAAAGAAAAAGAAAGCTAAGTTGGTTAAGATGTAAAATCAGAAGAAAAAAGAATCATGGGGCCTAAGTTGTGATAGTTGAAAAGATAGGCTCGTGACATATTCATTATATTCTCGAAACTTATTAGCTATTGAGAGCAAACCAAAAGATTTTTTTCAAAAACAAAAAAAGGGAATTTAAGTTGCACATATTTATGTGCAAATTTGACTTTTAATAATATCAATAATAGTGGTGTATATTTTCAATCAGCAAAATTGAAAAGTGAGGCATTTTAAAGTATCAAAAAACATGGCATGTTGGTTTTCTAGCTTGGGCTTTTTCTTCTTTTTTCTTTGTGGTTTGGCAGATAGAGACGTTCTCCGAACTATCATGTGGAAATAAAAACCTTTTCCTCTTTTACTTTTTTTTTTTTTCTGGAAAAGGAATAAAGTGAAATTTCTTTGGTTATATTCCCCTAAAGAATAAGAATAATAAAGTCAGTGTTTAATTTGAAAACATGAAACTTGAAAGGGATCTTTTCAGTAAAGGTTGTCCAAAACAAAAGACAGTCCAAACCAAATTATGAAATGAAGTCTATGTCCATGGGCCATGTCAATTCTGTCCACTCTTATCTTGGGCCTTTCAAACAATTAACAATTGGGCCCAACTAGAATAAATTTAAAGATCCAAAACTTTGACAACCCATTGAGCATTTATTCACTCTAAACACCTTTTTGCATTCAATTTAAGATCTTACAATTTGAGAGAATAATGATGTAACAAGTTTGAAGTGTGTAAATGAGCATATAATCTTTGAATCTAGATTACTGAATCATCATGATTTAAAACAATAAAGAAAAAATAAAAAGAGATTATTGTGTTTTAATCAATAGAGAAACTCATAAAAAAATATTAGTAATAAGATTAATCCATCCTTAATCAAAGATCTTGCGCTCGATTCCTTCAATGAATTTTTAGGGGTCTTTCTCTGGCTTGAAACCATGATCACTGAAGGATCCAACTTTAGAAACTTATCAATCATAGAGCCTGAGTAACTTTTTTTTTTTGTGGGTAATTGAGCTTGAGTAACTTTCTTGATGAATGAAGGAAAATGACATTTTGGCATATACAATATTGAAGTCTATATAAAAAAAAGTGCAAAATATTTATGAAAAAGGAAGAAAGACTGCCTACTTATTAACAATAGAAATATTTTGAAACTTTAAATTAAACTATTCAAATTTTCATATTAGTAAATAAACTTTTTTACAACAAGATCCATGGTAATATATTGCAAACACATAGCTAACATCTAATTAAATTAAATGAATCGTTACCAAATATAAATAATAATAATATTATCATATGTTTTACAAGCCTAAAGCTTAGCTCAGTGGTCAATGAGGTTAAAACTTTCTTTACGGGATCAAGTTTGATCCCTAGTTCCCACACACTATAGTTATTTATCGGAAATAGCCTTTCTATTCCTCCGGAGTAGGGATAAAGTTTGCGTACACACTACTCTTTCCAAACCCCACTTGTAAAATTTTACTTGGTTATTGGTGTCGTTGTTTGATGTGAATTTAAAGTTTAATGTCGTGTAAGAATAATTGTAAACAAAAAATATGACGAACAAAAATATGTCTCTGTGTCTTTTCCCCCCCTATTGTTAAGGGGAAGTGACACCTTCATTAAAAGACACAAAATTGAGAACTGCTTTGAATTAAAACCTTGAAGTTATGATCTATTCCTAAAACTTTGATAAATTAAAATTAAGTTTTTGAATTAATTTACTTCTATTTGATAAAATAGAAGTGTTAATTCAAAAACTTAATTTTAATCAAATAGATTATACCTTCAAAGTTTTGATGCAAGGCAGTTCTTAATTTTGTCTTTTTACTGGAGAGGTTACTTGGACTTAACAATAGGGAAGAACACACTAAGTTTAAAAAGTTTATGACCAAAAGTGCTCCTTTTTTTTGAAAAATTACACAATATGCTCCTTTTGAAGATTTTATTACTATATGCTCCCTTTCTATGCCCAAGCTCCACTTGAGGACATCCCATTTTCCCTTTCTTTTCCTTATTTCTTTGTTTATTCACTTTTTTTTGTCTATTTGACTTTTTTATGTGTTACTTTTTCCCATTTTATTATTATTTTTCTGTCAACTTAGGCAAAAGTATAAGGTATGGTGTTCGTCAACGATTAAGCAAATATGCTCACACTAAAATCTGTACATAAATTTCAAAGCCGAAATCTCCAAATGGTTACTTTTATGCCTCAGCCCTTTAGCCGTCTCCTTATGGACAAGTTCTATTATAATTATTTGACCGCATTTTTCTCCTAATCGAATAATTACCTACTTTTCTTTCTCAAAACCTTAAAAGACAGTACTCCCTTCGTCTCAATTTGTTAGTCATGGTTACTATTTTGA